AAAACCACATTTTTCATCCTTACACTCCTAACAAGGGTAAACCATAAACCAATAATTAACAACTTAATCAATTTCTAAAACAAGCCAATTATTTGATCTCATAATCATGTCATTTTAAACCATCCAAAATAAATCAGAGATCAAAGTTACATCATTCAAAGTGTACCGAAAATAAAAATAGTTTAAAGTGCATGATTATATCATTACATTTATATAATTGTCAATAAACAAAAGCCTTAGTATTGGCAATATAACACATTAAAAATCATAAATCAAATATCCAAAAGAGAGAGTGGATCTATGTCACTAAACCTCAGAGATTCCTCCACGCGCCACTCGTGGCTCTTCTCTTAAAAATTGTTAATCACATAATGAGACTCAAAAGTTTCATTAACCAATGCGAATTTATGATAATGTATTCAAATAGTAAATATGTGCTTGCTAATTGGGAAAATATAGTCATATAATTCTAGCAAAAATACAAGAAATATTACAATACATGACAAACAATTATCTTTATCTCCCTCCATTAACCTCAAGCAATAGCCTTCACTCGATGCTAAATTACTTGGCCAAAGGTAGATTAGCTCAAGCCCTTACAAGCCACCTATTGGGTTTCAATAGGGGCGTACCACGTGGCACATAAATACAATAATAATAATAAATCTCTCAACACCTCCACAATAATAAAAAAAATTCATAACAAGATTGTATAAGATACAATATTATAATTTTCTCATTTTTAACAATATTATTATATAACATCTCACTTGGAAAAAATACTTTAAAATGATATCCACAATTTCATAATTTTCCATAAACATAACAAGGTAATTTCTCAACAACATTTCATAATTTTCTTAATAATTCCAATTAGTATGAAGCAACACTAATCACAAATTAAAAGCATAGTTATTTTATGACTTTTTCAATAAATTATTCCTTACAATTTCTCTCCCACCACAATCTTCACCAACAACACAATCTACAAATAACATATTATTTATAAATATTAGTTTCAATTATTGAAACTAATAAAATAACTCTAATAATAGGATTAGAGAATAACATAATTTTTAATCTCAATTTTAATACGAATCTAAGTTATTACTATTAAAATTCCTAACTCCTCTTTTAGTTATCAATAAACATTAATAAGCTAAAATCAACCTCTAAACTAATTTTTATCATTAAAATTTTTTTATTTCATAAATTCGCACCTAAAATATTCAAAAATTGAAAATTGAGTCTAAAGCTTAGAATCATCATCTTATAGTCATAACAATACATTTCTCATCCCAAATAATCATCTAAACCTCAATAAATTAACATATATTTTTGAATTTAATAAAAATCTAGCCTAGAGTTTGATTCATAAGTGTCAAATTTCAAGTTTATCAACAAATTTATACTCTATAACATTATTATACCACTAACAACCTCAACAATCACATTTATTCAACATAAATTCATCCCTTTCTAAACCTTAGATTTTCTACCACTCTAAAATCTGAAACCAAAGAGGAAGGATAGTTAAAAAAAAAATTTAGAATACTTACTTAGTCTTGAAAAGCTTAAAATCTCACTCTAAATATTTTATTAGAAAGTCTCACCTTTAAAACGTAGCTCTCGAGCACCGACAGACTCGTGCACTGTTGCTTGCTTTGTTCATTGTTCGCGTTGCGAAGGGAAAGGAGAGAGTGCTTGGAAAAATGAGAAGGAAAAAGGGAGCTGGTTTAGATAAATAAAATGTGAGTCCCACCCCATTTTTGCTTTCCTTTCTTTTTTTTTTAAATATATATTTATATATGTATGTAATCACAGCACGCGGAAACGTCCGCCCCCTCCATTCTATTTTTTTTTATTTGCTTTTTATTTCTACACACGCAAATGTATATTTATATTCCATTTCTCATTTTCTCTCTATTAATTTCTCTTTTTTCTTTCTAATAATAATAATAATAATAATTTTTAAAATCTTAACTTAAAATTATATTTTAAGTTAGGTCTAATAATCATCTCCTATTAATTTATTTACCTCTAAATATTTTTTAAAATTTTTATTAACTCAAATTAACTATTAAAAATTTAAATTGGGATGTTACATTCTGCCTCACCAATTGACACTGATCAAACCCTTATTCGCTTCCCAGAAGCTCAGATCAAAGAAAGAAAACTTGCCAACAAAAAGAGACCAAAAAAAAAAAAAACTAACCACACACCCATCTACGTTAAACATTACTCTCATGGCGCAAAGCCAGTGAGAGAGGCACCAGAGGACAAAGGTTATATAGAAAATAACTTCATTTCCACTAATTATGGAAGGAGAGAAGCTCCCACAAGGAAACCTTAGGAGAGGAAATTATAAAATTTTGACCAATAAAATCTAATTTTCAAACATTGATTTTGCTACTCATTAAATTATACTACACTGTATTGGCCTACAAAATATCGTAGCTGATCGGAAACAAAATGCACAACGCCCTATAGATACAACTAGAAAACCCAAAAATACAGCTAATACTACGGGGAATAAATGAAATAATGCAAGAATGAATCACGGTTTTGAGCCTGAAATTAAAGGAAACCCTTATTACATGCCAACAAAAATATTACAAAGAGATACTCCCAAACATTAAATTGCCATCATGAGTTATTGCACTTTCATATTTTTCTTCAGATAATCAAAATTACAAAGCAACTTAACTTACGAAAAGTGTCATTTTTTTCCTCCCGTGTGTTGAACATTACTTTAGTTCTTACCACAATAACTTCAATATTTTGAACTAAGGTAACATTTGGATTGGTGAATTTGGTTTTAAATTTAAAATTTAAAATGTCGCATTTTAAATCTTACATTTAAATTCATATATTTAAAATATTTTGTTTGGTTAGATTAAAACATTTAAATAAAAAAGAGCGATGCGTTGAGATTCATAACAAGAATGAAAAATTAAAAGTGATCAAAGTTTACTTATATTTTTTAATCAATGGGATAAAAAAAGATACAAAAGTCATAGATGTATGCATCAACAATGAAAATGAAAAGTCAAGAATGATCAAAATTATTATAATTTCAAATGATTAGAGAATTAAAAAATTTAAAATTACAAAAAAAATGCAATGAAAAATAAAATTCAAATTCATAAATTTTTATGTGTATGCAAACAACTTGATCCAAATCTAAATCTCCACGTTAGTTCAAACACATCATAACATAAATTTGACACATGGATGATATACCACTTTCATAGATGTATGACGATAAAGATATACTGCATTAAAATATTATTTTAACAATCAAGAATGTATGCATCAACAGTGAAAATGCAAAGCCGAGAATGAGAGGTTTGATCAAAGTGACTAAAATTTTAAATAATTAATAATAAAAAATTTGACATTACAAAACAAATGCAATGAAAAATGGAAATTCAAATCCATAAATTTTTATGTGTATGCAAACAAAAAATTTGATCTAAATCCAAATCTCCACGTCAGTTCAAACACACCATAACATAAATTTGACACATGGATGGATATACCAGTTTCATAGATGTATGACAATAAAGGTAAACTGCATTAAAATATTATTTTAACAATTAAAGATGATGAGGTTGAGTAATGTTGGTTTTTTGTGGTGTAAAAACACTAAGTGGAGCACGCTTTGACTGTGGTTGACGATTCCAAGGATAGCAAAATCCATCGGCATCGCAAGGACCATCTTCATATATTGTCCAAATGCACAAATGGCATTTGTCTCGTTTCTGCACGTAAACATCATAGTAATGACGCGAAGAAGTTGACGACCACCAAAAGCTACAGAAATACAAGGATCTCCATGCCCACGGATCTGCTGTGAATTTGAACGAATATAGATCTTTAAAGCTGATGGTAACCTCTCCAAGGTCATGATTCTTATCTTTGCAATGGAGAGTCAAGTCTGCTGATGATCTAAGCGATTGATGAGTTGCACTGTTATAGTACTGTAAAAGGTGGAAGATCGCCATTAACTTTCATGATTGAAAAAAATATGGCTAGCAGCACAAGTAGAGATTTCATGTATGGAGCCATATGATTTTTGTGTTTTTCTAGGGGATATGATGCGAGAACTTCACACTTCACACACCACCGACCTCCTTATTTATAGATACGTGAGTTGTTAATTCCATCCAATTCAAATAGGGAACATTTATTATGGTATTAATGATAATAAATTCAGGGGAAATCTTTATTATGTTGTTTTTAATATTTGAATGTGCATTGCCTTTATTACATAGGATTTTCATTTCCAAATTTAGCTAAAAGTTTGATCATTGTATTCATGCATTTCAAAGAAAATGTATAAAAAGAAACTGCATTTGGGCCAACATTGAACTTTTATGCTTATTATTTTCTGCGGTTTTCAAATAGTCATCTTCTCTTATTTTTAAATCATTTCTAACATGTTATCAAAATTAAGGAAAACTTTAAATTATTCATTAGCTTTGTATAAAAATTTGATGAGCTTATAAGTTTATTCTCATTAAATATGCATACTTCTCTCAGTAACTTTAATGGTAACAAAAGGAAAAAATTATGATAACAAAAATTAATAACATGACTTATAAATTAATTCAAAAAATTATTTTCTCTCCATCTTATAAATAAAATTAAAAAAAAGTATAAAAAATTTTAACTAACTCATACATTTGAAAAAGTTTGTTAATCCTAAAAATTATGCTTCACATTTAAAAGAGAGAGAAAACTTTTATATTTAACCTTATATATTTAATATTCTTGTTTTCAATTAAATCAAGATATGTGAATCTTTTCTATATAGATTATTTATTTCTATAATAAATTATTTCTATTAATTTTTATTAATATTAATATCTACTTGTCATGATTTGATCAAATGTCACTACTACAAAAATGGCAATATTCAACGGTCATTTTAAATAATATTTAATGGTTATGAATTATTGAGTAATTAGCACAGACATCCACTCCTTATTTATAATTAATGCCTTTGTTTAATCAAGATAACAAGGATAGAAAAGCATTCAGTGAGTCACAAGTTAATTATTTAAAAAAAAATTAGACAATTTCAGCGGCATAGTGGCTTAAAATAGTGTTCATTAAGCTTTATTCTCTATTTATACTAATTTAATCAAACAAAATATTAAACTACTTCAAACAAAATTCAAATTTTTTCTACATAATTGCAAAATAAAAATTTTAAAAAAATTTTGACAGCATAACGACATAAAATTGAGCACTTTCCAAACTTAATGCCCTCTTTTCACAAATCCAATATTAAAATAACAATAATTTCAAACCAACATACACATAGATCAATCTCAAATTAATTTTAGAACAAAACTTTATAAGCTTTATAAGCTTGTAATGTGACTAAGAGTGAAGGCAATTGATTGCAAAATATCACCAAAGCTCATTTTAGATAATAGCCACAAGTACTCACAATTCAACCACAAAGTGAGCTATTTCAATTAGACATGAACATGATTTATACAATGCAAAATATGTTAACAAGATAATCAACTATGCATATTTACAAAGGCCCTCAGTAGCTTGAACAAAATAAAAATTAACAACAGAATATCCAAAGTGCCAGAACAGAAACCAAAAGATGCACCATAGATAATCATAAGGATAAAAATTCACAATGTATATTAATACTAATTTTTAATGATGAGAGCAACCTTAATATCAATAACAATAACACTCAATTCATTCAAGCTTGTAAATTTACATAGCTAAATTCTATTTTAAAAAGCTAAATCACATTATCTCTTTGCTCAATCCTAGTTTACAGAGCTAAATTATAGTACGTATACTCGTTGAAATAGAAACCTCAAGTTTCTAAATTTCAACTATTTATCAACCCAAAGTATAAAGCACCAATAATTGCAATTAGAAAGAAAAAAAAATTATTACCTCACATGATCACGTATATGGCTGTTCTGAAAGCAAGAGAAGGGATTAAGGCCATGGGAACAACAATAGCTGGTAGGAGAAGTAGCAATGAGCCACAAATTGAAACACAAGCACAACACAAGGACGAGTGAACCAGGAGGCTGAATTGGCAATATTAGAAGCGAGATCTAGGGACCTCAAACTAGAATGCGACTAGGCCTTTGAGAGCTAGAGTGGGACAACACCACAATTCTTCGATGGAGAACCAGAGCTTGGGATATTCATCTAGGGTAAGAGACCACTGTACCAACAAGGAGCTCACGCAACAGGGAAAGAAATGCGATGAACGCTGTGAAGATGGAGATGACAACAGTGATAAGCTGATAATGGGCTGGCTTGAGCTCACAAGGCAAAGAGCTTAAGGCCAACAATGGAGGGATTAGGGGTTTTAAATTGGAATGGAAAGTCTGCAATTTTTTTTTTTTTTTGAATGACAGATTGCTACGCGAGCTCTATTGTGGCTGTACGTAAAGCGTGAGGAGGAAGGGAAGATATTCAACGGTTAAATATTGAAACCGTTGAATATAATTTGCTTTCTTTAAAAAAAATTACTTTGTTTATATATATATATATATATATATAGTAAACAGTTATATTTTAACTGTTGAGTATATATCCAGATACTCAACAGTTCGTCCTTCACCGCTGCATAAATATGTATGAAAATATATATATATATATATATGCACTCAATAGTTAATAGCTTAGTCGCCGTTGCATATTTACATATATATATATATATATATGTGAAAGAAGACCCTTATTTAATTAATATAATAAATGGATAAATGAATATAATTGTTGAGTATAATCCATATATTCAACAGTTATAATTAACCATTTCATATATATTAAAAAAAATACAAAATCTTTATTCAAATAATTAATGTATTAATGATTAATTTAAAAAAATGTTGAGTATTTAGACAAAATACTACATGGTTTTTATACATTAACCGTTAAGTAAGTTTTAAAAAGATAAAAAATAAATTATTCAAAAAATTTATATACTCAACGGTTTTTAAATTTAACCGTTGAGTATTTACATTTACAGCTCAACAGTTTTTGAGATTAATTGTTGAGTAAGTTTCTAGGAGAAAAAAAATTTTATTTATTCATATACTCTATGGTTATACATAAAAACCGTTGAGTATTGATTTACATTATTTTACAGTTTTTTAATAACCGTTTAATATGAATTTTTTGATTTTTGCCTATACATATTAAACATTTTTAATATTAACCGTTAAATAAATCTTATTATATATAGCCATTTTTGTAGTTGTGTGTAAGTATGTAAGACTAAATGTGTAAGTCTTACCTTTAATTAAAAAAATTAGACTAAAATATCCTTGTGACTAATGAAACAAGTTTCTCTCATGAAAATGCACTTTCATTTTTGAAGGGCAATTTTAAAAAGAAAAAGAATTGATACTTTCTCGTATATTAAAAAAAAAAAAGCAATAGACAATTTCTCTTATAATAAAGAACTGATGAAATGAGTATTTTATTTCTAACTTCCTCAAAATACAATGCATTTCTTCATTCTTTTTTGAATGTAAGTATAGAAGATACATGTTGCTGCAGGCTGTTGATTCAAATTTATAATGTATATGTTGAGAAAGAAGTAAAATTTAGGCAGAATGGCATTGAGGGTTCTCAAAAGAAATATTATGACATTTGAATTAGTGGCGGAGTGGGGATTCAAAATTAGGAGGTGCAATAAGGAAATTTAAAAATTAATAAATTTTTAAAAATAATAAATTCCATTATGAATAAATTGTAATAACAAAAGTAAATCAATCATCATTTTTAAAAATATATATATATATTATTTATATATTAATAGGGTGTTATGATCTTATATGTTCTTCATATCTTATATTTATCATTAAAATAATAAGTTTTTAAGATCAAATATTTTTTATTTAATCTAAATGGTGCAAAATATCAAGAAAAAGGGTGAAAAGTTGCTAAGTTCACATACATAACTTACAATTTTTTCAAAGTGAAGGGGTGCTCACCAATGAGTAGCTTTGCCACTTGAAACATAAAACTCTAAAATTTCTCTGCAACATTGTAGGACACAAGTGAAATTATGTTTTGAGGTAAAAAAAACTTGGGGGGGGGGGGAATCCCTAGTTTCAAAAGGCAATTATATCATAAGCAAAGCTTCAAGCAATTTCCGTCATGACTTTCTTGTAGCTGTGTTATCTACCTCCTTACTTATTCTTGCTATTTCGTATCATGACATCCATCATCCAGTTTTCCCATCTGACTCAGAGCTATGATTGTGTATTAGTATAAGTGTTCACTGTTTGGATTCTGGATTCTGCTTTGTTGTTCAAGCTCTATTTGGCATATCAGACTTCATACATGTATTCTCCTCATGAAAGTACTTTTTTTTGCGTTTTATTAAATCTGAGCTTTTGTCTTTCTTCATTCAAGGTTGAATAGGGCTGAGAATAGCTTTACCACAAATTATTCTATCAAGATTTGTAAACCATCAGTTTTAATTTTCGTTTTTCTGAATATGGAAATTTAATGGATTTACTTTTTAGTTTTAGTGTTGCCAACCCCTAAAGCTTGATGTACATTTCAATTTTGGTGGAGGAAATGGCGGGCTGTATATAACTATAAATGGATAATCAACAAATGACTCTTTTGCCCAGTGAGAAATTCATATAGAGAAATGAAAACTTCTCTAGGTTGAACTCTGGCAAGTTTTACTTCAAGACTTTCATTATGGGCAATTATCCATGGTATTTCTTTGGTTGGAATTTACTATATACTTATTTCCTCTTTGAAATAATTTGCATTTGTGATTTGAATATGATTTTCTTTGGGCTAGCTATTAGGAGAATTCTTAAATATCCTAAGAGGAACAATGTAGACTACTTGTCTTTATATTTGGATGTTGTGGATTCCACAACACAATGTGGACTACTTGTCTTTATAAGAGTTGGATGGTTCGCTATGTACTGCAAACAGCTAGCTGTAAGGAGAATTATTAATAACAGTTGACATTTTG